GCCATCATTGTTGTTTGGCGGGCCCGAGCTGGGGATTCGAACCCGCCACCTTAGGTGTATGTGGCTGGCGCCTTAGCCGCCTGAGCCACAGGCGCTGAGCCTGAACTCAAAAGTTTGAGACCAGCCTGAACAAGAGCAAGAGTCTGTCTCTACTGAAAATAGAAAAGTCGGGCACCTATAGTCCCAGCTACTCAGCAGGCTGATGTACGCTGATGCTGTGGCACTCTACCCAGAACAACAGAGTAAGACTGTCTCAAAAAAAAAAAAAAAAAGTTGGAGAAACACTGGAGGGTTGGGTTTTGAGTTGGGGGCAGGAGATTATATGATGATCTCTCTCCTCCTCTGTCAGCAGAAATGTGAAGTGTTATAGTTGGACCCAGAGACCCTGCCAGGCAGGTCGGCACGTGGGAGCTTAGGAGTAAGGGGATCTGCTGGGAGAGACCTCAGGAATAGCCAGGTCCAGCGTTAACAGTACCCTTGCTACCCCTGTGCTGCCCAAGCCAGGGCCTGCCTTCTGCCTTAGGCCTCAGGATGGTCCCCACTTGAAGCCCTGGACAGTGCCAGCACCACAGGGCTCTGCCTTGACATCACCGCTGCAGCCAGGGTTTGTGCTTTTGCCTAATGGTGGGCAGGCTGATGCCTCCTTGTAGGTGTCATGGGGAGGGCCCTGTCTACCTCCTTTCTGTAAGTGCCTTCCAGAACTTAACTCAGGGCCCCACCCCTACAGCTCAGTGAGGGTTTGTAGACACCTGGCCGTGAGGCAGCCCCTTGGGCCCCTCCAAGGACCTCAGCTGCGTAGATTCCGGTTGAGGCCCCACATGTCACCTGACGTTTGCAGAGCACTTCATGCTTCACGGAGCTCTTCTCACAGCAGTAGCTCCTGTCACCTCCTGGCAGACCTATGAGGTTGATGATGTTTCCCCATTTCACAGTTCATGAAACTGAGACCATTGTCATCAGAGGTACGTCCACAGTCACAGTCACACAGCTAATTGGCAGCAGACCCAGCCTTCTGCTTTTCCCCTCCAGTTGTTTTTCTGTGTGTCTCATGGCTGAATAAAGGTCCAGGCATTCCTGCTGGACAGGCTCTGAGCTGGGAGTACAGAGAGTGGCGACAGGCTTTGCACCTGGGAGAGCAGCATCTATGAGTGTGACTTTTTTTTTTGGAGACAAAGGCTTAAGCTGTCGCTCTGGGTAGAGTGCCTGTGGCATCACAGCTCATAGCAACCTCCAATTCCTGGGCTCAAGTAATTCTCCTGCGTCAGCCTCCCAAGTAGCTGGGACCACAGGGCCTGCCACAACACTGGCTATTTTTTTGTTGCAGCCATCATTGTTATTTGGTGGGCCCAGTCTGGATTCGAACCCTCCAGCTCAGGTTTATGTGGCTGGCTCCTTAGCCACTTGAGCCACAGGCGCTGAACAATGAGTGTGACTCTTAAAGCAGTGGCCCTTGCAGCAGGGTAGGACACTGACGCTGTTAACACTGCAGGGAGGGCTCCAGGGTAGCAAGTAGGAGAAGAGCAGAGGTCTTCACTGCAGGAGGGAGATAGGGACAAATGTGGGCATGAGCAGACCTTCAACCAGCAGCAGGGGACTCCCTCAGGCATTTGGTCAGAGTGGACAGACAGGGCTAGTAGAGAGAGGTGAGGCTTCCATTAGTCCCCAAAGGGATGAGCAGTAGTCGAGGTCCAGAGAAGGCCAGCCTTCCCAGAGGGCCCAGGGCTCCTAGAGACAGACATTATCTCCACCTCCTCAGCATGCTGGGCTATAAAGGGTGGGACCCTACAGAGTGGGTGGGCGGTAGGGTAGGGCTTGTGGGGCCGGTGGAGTATGATGTCCAAGGGAAGCAATGTGGACTTGGGAGGTCACTTTGCTGGAGACAAAGAGAGGCCTTTCCCACACCCCTTACTCCCCAGCCAGCATGGGGCACACCTCTCTCTCTGATCCCTATGCCACATTTTCTTTGCCACCTGGTACCATTTAACAAGAGAAGCGGCATCACATTCTCCAACTGAGGATCTGGGAGCCTTCCAAGCACTAGGGGAACATGATGCTGTCACTGCTGCCAGCTCCCAGCCGAGCTTGGCAGGGGCCCTAGAACTGAGAGGCCGCCCCTCTGGGGTTGGGGGCTGGCCTGCCCCTGCTCACAGCAGAGCTGAGCTACACTCAATGGTAGTCAGTGCCCTGTCAGACCTGCTGTCCCTGGAAGGCTGTGGAGGGGTAGCCGGGGAATGTGTTGCCCCGCACCATCTGGAGGCCAATGACATTGTCCAGAAGGCTGTGACAGGGGAGTAGTGGAAGGCCAGTCTCTATGCCTGACACAGTGGTGGGGTATAGGGAGATGGGAGAGGCTGGGCTTGGCTGCTCACTGATGACATGATCTCGGGCAGGTCACTGCATCCAGGAGCCTCAGACCCTCATCTGTAGAATGGGGTCAACTAACTAATGCCTTTCTCCCCAGCTGCCAGTGAAAAAGCCATTATTTTAAAGTTTTAAGCAAATGTAAAATCTCAGGGTGGCCATGGTCACACAGTGGTCGCATTGGGGGGCAAGAACCTGTGGGTTACAGGTCTCAGTGGGGGGTAGCCTGAGGCTCCTGGAGAAGACACCCCTTCAGCTGGGCCTGAAAGCTGCTGGGTCCATGCCCTATGAACTCAGAGGAAGGAGGCTGTCAGTGCAGGGCTTGCTCAGGGTTACAGGGTCCCCTCAGGCCCCTCCTTGGGTTCACCCCAGTGGGCTCACATTCTCTGTAGGAGGTGATCTTGACCCAAGTGTTTTGCCCCATGTGGTGTATTTCCCATCCCTGCCAAGGACGCAGGGCCTTCCTAGCAAGGAAGGGGCTCCACAGATGGTCCTGTGTCTCTTGCACTCCCAGGTGAGTAGAGACAGGAGCAGCCTGGCCACACAGGGGAAGTGGTGCAGTGGGAAAGGACCCAACCTTTGAGTCCCACCAACTTGGGGTCTGTGGCTGCCTTGCAGTGTGAGCAGGGGCAGCCCACTTCCCTCTGTGCACCCCATGACCTGCTCCACGCTTGAGGTCCTTATGAGGCTCTGAGATAAACTGAAGCACCTGCCCCGGTCCATCCTTCCCAGATGGCAGCCAGAGAACTGGCTGGCTGTGCTCAGAGCTATGTTGGGCTAGTGAGCCTGGGGGTTCTTGAAAACAAAACCTGCCAGGCCTTGCCCCCTTGGCCTATACACGCACCCAAGCGTGCTAGGCCAGGCCTGCTGGCCGGCTCCAGCACAAAGCAACCTTTTCCAGAAGATGTCTTCAGGCTTAGCCCTCTTCTCTCCACTCTGCACTGGGGCCAGAAGGATGCAGTTGTAAAAGGACTTCTCACAGACACTTGGGAGACTTTGGACCTTGCACACCTCAGATCTGAGCCTCATTTGAGTATGACACTGAGTGCCAGCTCCTTTGAGTATAACACTGAGTGCCAGCTCCAGGACAGAGAGCAGGTGGGCAGTCCCCAAGGACTCCTCATATCAGGAGGAATGCCGAAGTCATTCGGGAGGGCCCTGGGAACTAACATTTGGTGGCTGTCTGGTCTGACTAGAAAAGTGCCCTGTAAGACTGGGCATGGTGGCAGGTGCCTGTAGCCCCAGCTACTCCAGAGACCAAGGCAGGAAGATCACTTGAGCCCAGGAGTTTGAGGCTGCAGTGAGTTATGATGATACCACTGCACTCCAGCCTAGGTGACAAAGACCCTGTTTCTGAAAAAAAATATTTTTTAAAAGAAAAACTGCCTTGCAAGATCTGACCCAGAGGTGCTGGTCCTCTATTAAGCTTGGCCACAGACCAGCTTCCCTTGAAGGAGCACAGACTCCTTGAGGGCAAGACCTGACCACCACCCTACCGCCAAGCAGACAGCGGGCCCCACAGGGGAGCTCAGGGGCCAAGGGGTACGTACCTGTCATCCATCTTGCTTCCCTTCCATGGAAAGTAAGCGTAGCCATCCACTTCCCCCACAAGTTTGGGGCGTGGGCCAGGCATGCCCTGCCTTTTTCCTGGTCGCTGTCCTTTATCTGCTCCCCTGGGACATCCTT